GTCGGGCTCCAACCTATGTTACTGCCAGGGGCTTTTACTTTCCAGGTGCAGGGTTTTGTGTACGGCCTTGTTGAATTTTGTAACTTTTTGTTGGCCTGTTCTTGCCTGAGTGGGTACCTCAGAAGTGGCAGCCCTGCCCTTGAGTGCATTGACTGGTCCTCCTCCAATCTGGCATCACCTACAATTTTGACAAGATTAGAGCCTGACACAAGTTGTTGAAAAGTACAGGTCCTAGCATAGCCCCCTGTGGGGTCAGTCTAGACTTGTCCTTGATTGCTATGGTGTTTGAAGGACTGAAGTCTGTTATTGATAACTGATTATAAGAAGTGATTCTTTTGTGATAGTGTGAGCATATATATTGAAAAGGGATTTTAACACCTCTTTTCAGAACGTTAGTAGGCTTTTTCTCCAGAAGTCAACTGACTGCAAAATTCACAGTTCTGTTAAGTATTCTCATTCTCAGTCCCAGTGTACTTTTAGGATACTTAGTAGAAGTCTTATGATACCTTTCAACATCTGCCACACCCCAGTGCCACTATAGTTGATAATTACCCTTGTCTCTTGAACAGAGGTCACTGACCTTATATGTCTCACACTTGCAAATGTTCTCAAACTCTGATTGCTATAATCAAGGTAGTCTCAGAGCAATGTGTCTTTGGTCCCTGTCCTTCAAAATTTACTGCTTCTGAAAAAACTGCTTGCAAGCCTGAAAGCTTGTCTAACACCAGTTGGTGACAGTGCTTCTGCACTTTCTCTGTGCAGATGTTTCACATGTAATCTGGTAATCACCTGTATTTGGTGTCAATCCCATTCTTAATTTGAATGCAGTTGGTATGCACATTTCCTTTATATGTGGTGAGAAATTAATTTGGCAAGGTAGCAATTGCATTACAGTGATACTAGTACTTAGTTCAGTAAGGAAATCTGACTCTTAAATACTTGATCATTATCATACAGTACGGATTGCAATAGTTTAAGGTACTTGTTTAAATGTACATAATAGGCTTTTCATCCTGGTGCAAACATAAAAGTAGATAATGTAGCTCAGAAGTTTTTCAACTTGAGTATCAGTGGACAGGTAAGTATGACTTTGCCTCACTTATATCATGTAAATTCTACCTATTGAAGAGTTGAGTAAACAACCAGGTGCTCTGTTATTGCTGAGTAGTTATGTTTCTGGAGCTTCTGAAGCAAAATAAATATGTATAATCTGTCCCAAAAATTGAGTTACATGTTCTGTCGTTTACTATTCTAACATGCCTGATGAGGAAAACAGCCCTGCAGGCTTCTGATAACAGCAAGCAGTTAGAACCACAAATAAAGCACTCAAGGCTGTAAACTGATACCATGTTTTGCTCTCTTGATCCACCTGCCAGTAGCACAAGTTTCCAGAGACTTCCCTCAGAATGCAGCAGCAGGCTGCAGAAGGCTTGAATGACAGTGTAGTCAAAGGTTCCTGATGTTGCCTGCTGAAGGAAAAGTAGTGCTCCCTGGTGTGGAACTGAAAGTCCCTCTATGCAAACTATCAAATATTCATGTTCATTCACTGCCTCCTGACAGATGAATAATTCCTGTTCCGTACTTCATATCTGGGTTTTAGCTTGCCAGAATACAGTCACTTAAGGAGTCAGTACTCTGTTATATAGATATTCCCATGGAAATTCATGGTAAGTACACCTGTGTTTATAAAAAGTACAATGGACAGTATGTGGAAAGTCTAAAATCTGTAGCAGCCATTCTCACTGCTTGCAGACTGGAGGTATTCAGTGTAAGTATTGACACAAAGCAAATAAAAATTAATGAAATACTGATAGTGAAGCTAATATTGTAGTTGTAAAACATTATGGCATGTTTAATTAGGGATGAAAAGAGAACTCTGTATGTACTGGTCTGCTATCCTGTTATGATTTTACCATTCTCTTCTGTGTGCATTTTATTGAGCTGTTCTATTTAAGCAATTATGTAGCTGGTCATCCCATATGTTGGAGATTATATGGAGCAGCAAAGTTTTAAGGAGTGGCATTGCAGTCCTTAGACCCTTAATTGCAAGGAGAAATACTACCAATAGAAAGGAAGGGGGGGGGGGGCGGGGTTTACAGAAAACAAAGGCTGAGTAATATCACACACACACTACAATCCACCTTTGATTTAAATTAATCCCTGGAACATATTAAAGCAGTTAAATCACTGTCAATCTCTGTACTTTTATGTTGGCAGGTCGAATGTCATCCATACCTTACCCAGGAGAAGCTGATCAAGTACTGTCAATCCAAGGAGATTGCTGTGACAGCGTACAGTCCCCTTGGCTCTCCTGACCGACCATGGTAAAATCACTTTGTGCTTTGCAAGTGAGCTGGCATGGATTATGCTTGAAACTTTGAGACTACAAGTGCACCATTAATTACTAATCCAGGTACAGATCTCTTCTAGGTTGGATCTCTGGAGGTTTCTTGCTACTGATCTTCTTTCCTGTCTTTAGGGCCAAGCCAGAGGATCCTTCCCTTCTGGATGACCCCAAGATCAAAGAGATTGCAACCAAGCACAATAAAACCCCAGCACAGGTACGTAGGAGCTGGACAGCAAATACTTCATGTAACAGCTAATGCCAATGACAGGCTGGCACTTCTTTCCCTGTCACCTGTGGTGCTCTTGTCTTGTGTTTAGTGACACAGGTATGTTTACTATGTGGCCTGCAACACATGCTTGCCAGGGCTCTCTGGCCACGGACAAGAAACATTTTCTTGACCCATCTTAAGATGCTGTAATATTTCAGTCTTCCCCTCTCAAGTCCTGTTGTAGAGAAGTGAACCCATATATAGACTACTAAAAGTCTAGGTGGGAAAGAAAGGAAATGAGCATCACTAAATTTGATGGGAAAGGAGAAAGGAGGACTATGTGGGGCTCCACTACTTCTGTGTTTGCTCTTTGGAAAGTGCCGCTTAGAATTCAGGTATGATTTGAAATGCAGCTCTACAGAAGTGGGTTAATTCTGCTGAATTGTACAGTTTCTAACAATTGTTGGAACAGGTTCTGCTTGCCATAGAACAAAAGCCATCCTATCTCTGACTCAGTGACATGCCTCTTGCAGGTTCTCATTCGGTTCCACATTCAGAGAAATGTGATTGTGATTCCCAAGTCTGTCACACCACAGCGCATTGTTGAGAACTTCAAGGTGAGTCATTAGAAGTGACCTGGGTGCCTGGCATGTTCAGGGATGGCATGCCTTTCACCTGCAGAGCGAGCAGCAATCCTTTTACACCCTTCCCAAGTCCTCAGGCAAGAGGACTGGGCTTTTTGTCTCTGTATGTTTACTTACGGTCTGCTGAGGGCTCAGCTTAAAGTAACAGTTGGAGAGCAGGAGTGAAAAAAGCTGTTGGAAACACTCTGCTGATAATCTTAGCAGTCATGTTATGTGAATGCTTCCTGTTCTGTGTCATGTGGATGAGCTGTCTTGACGGAGCTTGCTTGGGGCCTGAGTGCAGTAATATACCACAAAAGGCTTATGTAGAGCAAGCACTGTTAGAAGAGGCCTGGTGTCCATAAACCACATCACTGCTTTTGATTCAGTGGTCCTTGACTGAAACAAGTATTAGAACTTTGGAAAACTTTAGAACTTGGTTGCATTAGGTGGAATATTAAAGTCTTTTAGGTGTTTTTTTGGAATGGGACAGAAAAATGCATCTTTCAGAGGGAGGATGGAGGCATTCTGCAGCACCACATGTTCTCCAGACTTCTAAAAACAACTGGTACATGCTACTGCAACTGGAGACTTTAATTCCTCCCTCTCATGCTCACCTCCCTTCCCCACTCCAGCTAGTAGAGTCTTAGAAATCCAGAGCCTTCTTTTGACTTTTCTTCCTCATGAAACAGTCTTTTTTCTAAAAAGCACCCCTACACTGTGGACTTGTTCTTTAATTTTGTGCATTTCTGCTTACAATCTCTGATTTGTTCAAAGAGGTGATTTCCAGCTGTTTCTTTTGTTAGGTATTTGACTTTGAATTGACTAAAGAGGAGATGGAAACTATTCTCAGCTTTAATAGAAACTGGAGAGTCTGTGCAATGAGCACGTAAGTGGCAGTGTGTTTTTTTTCAAGCTGTTAAGTTACCAGTATGTTATAGTTTAGTACATAGTATAGATACTAGGCTTGGTTGAAATTCAGGATATACAAACTCAATTTCTAAAGGGGTCATCCTCAATGTAACTTTTCAGTAAAATTTTAAATGTTCATGTTATGAACCAAATCACAGTGAGCATAAAACAAACTTCATGTTCATTTTCAGTTCAGTCTCCAAAAAACCTTTTGTAGATGGAGTTACAACAGAAGGCTTCTTATTCATAACTTTTATTTTGTCTGCGTTGGAGAAATGAGCTTGACGCAGACTCAAATTCTTGTTTAACTTTGCTTCTGGTATTTTGTCTTTCCTTAAATATATTATAAAAATTGACTGTATGTTCTTCAGAAGTGTTTGGGAAAGTGGATGAACGTTCAAAAAGTAACATGAGGATTTGCAACTTGGAAGCCTAAAGCCAGACACAAAATCTTTGTTGAAAGGCTGCAAAAAAGGTCTTCCCAGCACCTAAGTTGCTTGGCCTGAAATGGTCAGAGTCCACACAACAGAAGTCACTCAAGAATCTTTCTGTTTACAAATGCAGCATGTCACCAAGGAAAACAAACTGATTGCTTTTATATGGTTCAGCTCCTCCCTGGGTGGCTTTTTGCAGTGGTTACAGCTGCATATAGTATCTTTCAGACATGAGATAATCTTTCCTCTTTGATTTCCTCCAGATGCAAAACTCACAAGGACTACCCTTTCAATATGGAATACTGAGGATGGTTTCCTGCCTTTCTCCAGACTTGGATATGCTTCTGCTGTTGCCTATGAGTTGTCCATGTAGCTTTTTCACTGCATCACACCCCACCCTCCCCATCCTCCAAAGAGGCAGTATATGTACTCTGACTTTTGTGTTGGGTTGTTGTTTTTGGTTTGGGGGTTTTTTTGAAGAAAGAAATGCTAAAATGGTTCTGAAGAGCACAGTATGGACTAGTAGACTGTCTTTGCCAAACTGCATGTCTGGAATTTGGTAAGCAGAAAATATGAAGAAAGTTTAAACAAGCAGTCAGTTTTATTTGGGAATACTGTGAATTGGAGCTAGTGACTATTGTCTAGAAGGACCACGATATTGGCAGATTTTACATAATTAGGTCTTCTTTTTTCTGATTACTTTTGGTTTTGTTTCTTTTCATAACACTCCATGCTTTTTTCTCTTAATTGGAAGTAGGAGTTGATTTCTAGTACAGCAGTTTCTACGTGGGTAGCTCTTTAAAAAGTGTATAGGTCCTGGTTTCTTGGTGATATAAAAGCTGTTTTTGCTTATAATAAAATACAGTTTCATTACTGTGTGTAATGAGATGGTCATTTCAGCAGTGCTCTAATGGTAGTAATGCTGGTGTAGCAGTGTAGTTGTATTTTCAGTTGTCTCAGGAAATTACACAAAAGCAAAGAAAATTATTGTTCCCAAGAAATCATCTGCTGTTGATGTTAACTTCTTACGTATGACCTGCTAGCTTTTTGCTGTTCTCATGCTAGTGCACGTGTAGAATGCCTGAGTGCAGTGAACCTCTGGCCATTAATGTACACTGTAATGTACCTGTGGCCACTGACGAGCCTGCTTAAGCCTCTCTTTGAGTAGAACTCTTGATATGTCTGATGGCTAATATACTAATGTTTAAATCAGTCTTTATTTTACTGAAGTGGTAGTATGCTTTGACTAGTAGGAAACTCCAGTACATTGAAGACATGAGGCCTACACAGCATCCTATGGGATTGTTTTAGTAAGCAGTAGAAAACTTGCCCTTTCCAGGCAGGCAGCACATGATGCAGGAGAGAATTCTGTGCTTGCACAAGCTACCATTTGTGAATATAGTAAAAGTGGGTTTCCAAGGAAATGTGTCATGAGCTAGTCGATCAGAAACTTGCTATTTTTATTTTTTTGGGGTGGGGGGTGGGGTGAGGGTGTATGTGTGTGAAAAACAGGCTTATACCCAAATTTTGACATGAGGTGTGTTTGTCCCTTGGGGTTGTTTTTATGGTTTCACAATACTTGCAGTTAACAGTTTTAAAGTTGTTGCCTTCTGAGAGCTGCTTAACATGATTCACAAAATGCATTTGAGCACTTGTAAAAACAGGTGCTAGTGTTGGGTTATTTTTTTTTTTTCTTTCATGTTCTTGTAAATTTTTTTCAAAGGTCTGAGTAGAGTGTGAACTGTCCTCTGAAAGAGGTTGTGTAGGCCTGGCAGAAAGTGGGTTCTTTCTGAACAGGTGAAATAAGGGAGACACCAGAGCTGTTAATGTGTAACCACCCCTAAATGGTAAACATGAGGTAGGATTCTGATTCCATAACCACATAGCACAGTGTACTTTAAAGGGAGCTCAGCCAGGTTAAAATGTACTGTGAATACAGTTGTTCTCAAACTGAAGTAGGTGGTTTGTTTCCTGGTACTGATAAAAAGGTACTGAGGAGTCATACTAGCTTAAAATTTCTCTTTCTGATAAATATTGTTATATTAAGAAAACAGATTTTGTTATCTTTAAATGCTTCTTTTAAATCTTTCCACTATTGCTGAGGCCAGACTTTACATGCAACACATTTTTGGTCAGAATAATTTACAAGAGGTTGAACAGACACAGTTGAGAATGTACAACATGAGGAAGAGGAGGAGGAGATTCAATGTCTGACTCTAAGCAATATTCTATCCTAATGCTGATTCTCCTGACAAAAATAGTTTATAATCACTTTAATTTCTGGGCTTAAAAGCAAATACAAAAAGGTTCAGCTCTGCAAGTGTTTTTGTATATCTATAATGTGATAAATAAAAGCCCAAAGGCATCTAAAAGCAAACCAGCTAATGTTCTTGGATTGGTCTGAGCTGTGACAGAAAAATGCTCAGGGCAATGTTGACTTGCTTGGAAATAACATTTTTGTGACAAGTGTGTTCTGGCAAGACGTTACATTGAGGGTCAGGGTTTCCAAAATAGTACATTGGGTTATGTTAACTTCCTCTGTTATCATTTCACTGTAACTTTATGAAAGTTTGCGCCTGAAATTTTCCATTCTTGGTGTAGGAATTTTACTGGAGAAGATTTTCAGACAGACTGTTCCACAGCAGAAGGAAGACTAGCTGGAACTGAGGGTGGAGTGGTATTCTAACAGGCGCACTCTTGTATTTTGCTGGATGACTTAGTGGGAAAGAATTTAGAAAGGGTTGTTCTGAGCCACAGCACTTAACCGGCAGAGGGTTTGGGTGCTTGGCAAAATTATGAGTGGGAATAGAGGAAAAAGAGAAGCACCTGAGCAAAGGAACAATGATGCATAAGCTTGAACAGAAAGCAGGCTGTTGGCAGAAAGGAGTGGGAAGGGAGTGATAGAAAACCCTGTCATCCGTGATGATTTTGAATTGTTTCTTCAAGGCCAGATATGATTAAATGAGGCTGAGATAGAGGAAGAGCCAGATTTCTAGACTGCAGCCAAGTTTGTTTAATCTAGATTCATCTGGGGATTGTTACAGTAAAATAAATTACTGTTGTACCCCCATACTTGTGCCACACTCTCTGCATACAAGGGTAGAGATTTCCTTTCATCTCCTAAAAGGTAAAGTGGAAAGATCAAAGAATTAGATATCCGGAGCCTAGCATTCCTGCTAACTGAGCTCTTCCTGCTGCAACTGTTCACAGCATTTGTTTTTGTATTGTGATTTGACAGATCTCTGGGTTTCTGATCAAAGAAATTTTTGAAGACAAATACAATCTTGTAGCTCTTTCAATGAAAAGTGGTTGTGTTTTGTTTTTGTTGTGTTCTTGATTTAAGAACTTGTAGTTCAGCTCCACCTTGTTGGCCCCTCTTAATAGACTTTCTCAGGACTCTGCTGCAGCAGTTGTGCTACAGTATCCCACTAGCTCACCCTAGAAGTCTAGCCTGAAGGAAAGATTAAAAGCAGGAGACAGAAAAATCATGTTCTTGGGACCAGTAGAATTGGTATTTGTACTCAAAATTTGTTTTACTTCCAGCTACACTCTCACTGCTTCAAATCATACCAGACTAGGAGGCCTTCCTTTCATGCTAAAAGAAAATGTCTGACAGAACAGATCTGTGTCCATAGTAGCAAAGAATGAACTGATTTATCAGGGAGAACAGGTAGAGAAAATTGGCAGTTATCTCACTGGAGAAGGCAAGAGACCATTTTGAGAATTTTTTTGGGTAGCAGAAGAGAATACAAGGAGCTGGAACTGGCATCTTGCTGGTTGGAGGTAGGATACCACAAACAGTCTTACAAGCACAGTATGTTTCAAGTTGCAGTTGATGTTCCTTTGGGAGAAAATGTCTTGACTTCTGATATTGGAACATAAATACCCAAGCCTGCCTGGCTGGAATTGCTTTTTATATCATGCTCTGTAACTTGGTCTTTGTTTCTCTCTGGGGAAGGTGAGGCAGGATCTCTTTTTCTTGCTGAGCTCCTGAGACTGATACAAGTGCATACTGTAACATTTGTGCAGAGTTGTGAAATCCAGTGCATAGGAAACTTATTCAAAACAGGAAAAGAAAATCCTTTTTTTAATTTTTAATCTGTATTCACTGTGTTGAAGATATGACTGGAAATCTGGAGGTTTTTGCTTAATTGGGGCACAGAACAGTTGACTCAGGACAAATGACTTATCTTTTTAATCACTTAATACTCCTCTAACTTGTCATCTATAAACTCTGTCAGTAACTATCCATCATCCCTCCCTCTGCCTTGTCCTTGATCACTTAAATACAGAGCTGTGTCTTACTCTGACAGGACCTTTCTCATTTAAGCTGAGGCAACTCCATAAACTTGGCAACATTTCATAGGCCATGTTGCTCTTGCATTTTGAGTTAAAGTGCATGGTACATGAACACTAGTACCAGCATCTGCAAAACTAATCTTTTATTTCAAATTATTAAGCAAAAAAAAAAATCAAGCTGAATATAGTCTAGCTTTTCTGAACTGAAATAAGCCTGATAAGCCAGCTGATAGCTGCTTGTAAGAGCAGCTGAACTGAATCAGACTAAATATCTACCTACTGCAGCAGCCTGTCTCCAACTGTGGCTGAAACAAGTTGTTGAAGATGGGTATGTCTGAGCATTGCAGCTGTGTGTTCTTTAAACATTCTGACAGCAGTTCAAGATCTTTCATGTTTAACAGCCATCAGTGAACTCTGTTTCTTGTTCAGTTACCTTGTGAATCTGTTACATTCCAGCAGAATGATATTTCATACCCACACATCTTGGGAAAAATTTATCTCTCTTTTTTGGGGCTTTGCTGCTAGATTCATTTGATGCTGATGATTTTTACAGTGGAGGAGATAGCAAGTGGTCTATTTCAAGTCATATTTTCCCTGCTCCAGATTTGATAAACTTCTGGCATAGCTCCCTGCACTGGTTCAGGTCAAGGAAAGTCTTAGTCTGCTTACTTGCCATCTGTATAAATTATTCATAGGCCATTAATTATCCCAGTCAGTCTTATAAATCTTTAAGATATAAGGGAAGGCAAGGACCAGAACTTTTTGTGCAGGATTGAATGTAAAAAGTTGATGGAATGGTGCTCTGGCTTCATGTTCGTTTTGTTTCTCATTGTTTCCTTTTGAGTGATAGAGCTCAATATGGGAGAGCTTAGAATTATAATAGATGGAAAACCTGAGTGGCAATTATCAACAGAGTTTTGAATTCTACCTATTTTTGACTACCTCTACATTATCCTGCTTTCCCTCTAAAACATGGATGTAATTTATTTTTTTGCCCATCCTCTTTGGAACTTTTAATGAAGGCTTGACTGTACCAGAATGGATGAACTGCACAATAAAAGCTCAAGTCAGGGGACAACATGTTGTGATACAAAGACAAAATGCTAAGCTAAGGTGTTTTCCATTTACTGGGTTCAGTCCAGTGGCACAGATAATATCACTGCTGACTAGGAAAGATGTGTCTGCTGGTTTGGTCTAAGAGCACTGTTACATAGCTGATGGAAACTGAAAACTATTTGGGAATAATACAAACTTCTTGCTGTAGTTCCAACAGAAAGCTGATGATTTTGCTGCTGAGGAAATAGGCACACAGGAATAGAAGCTGCTAGTCCTTCAAGAAACTTGCTCCACTCCCTAGAACTGGTCATAGTGACTTGAGCCTGTTTATGCTGCATCTGACAATGGGAGAATTCTCATGTTCTTTTCCTGAAGCATTTTTTGTAGTGTGGCATGTTCTCTTCTGGCTTTAAGAGATGGCCTTGTGATCTTCAGGACTGAAGTACTAGTCCTGTGGCCTCTTGCACATCTGCTCCTTGTTAGACATTGATCCAGCCTGGGGATTAGTAACTAACATGCTCCACGAGGCACTGAAAAGTGTGTGGAGAGAGACTGTCACTGCAGGTACCCCGAGGCTACCTTGGTAACGGCATGCAGTTGAACTAGTTAAAACCACAGAAAAGGGAGTGGGTTAAATGGCCATCAGTATGCGCTTGCTTATTAACACAGGGTTCAGATGAATCGCAATATGGAGACTAGAAGGTTTCCAGCAGTTCTCAGTGCAGCCAGTACCTCTGCTGCAGGTTCCTGCACTGACAGAACAGATAAAATCCTTTAGAAGACAGTTGTAGTTTGTCCCTTCCTCTCTTCTGCTGCAGTTATCTGATCAACAAAACACTTGCTTTTCTTTAGTCAACTGAATTTAAAACAGTAGTAAAACAAGCCGAAGTCTCTACTCTAGCCTGTTATGGCAATTTTTATTTTCTTAACAAGCAGGTTCTATGTAAAGCAAAGTCTGAACTTAAAAAAAAAAAAAACAAACAACAACAACAAAAAAAAACCACAACACCACCACAACCAAACAAAAGACCACCACAGAAGAAGCTGGAAGACTCTTTTGAATCCTCAAAGCCAAATACAAGGGAGATCATGCTTCATGGTTTTCTCTCTGCAGATAGCAGAGGCAATGAGAGTCGTAGGGAGCAGTGCCCTTGGGGCATACATGTTGGGGTAGATGAAGTGGTGAAGACTGTCATAGGCAGCTGTGAGGCAGCAGTAGTGTGCTAAAGTCATATTGTCCAGGTCATAGGGCTGCAGATCTGCTGCAGAAGTGAAGGTACTTGATTTCCCAGTAACTGACATCACCCAAATTCTTCTCCTTTTACATTTGCTGAAGTCTCTGCAGCTGAAAAAAAATCTATTGTTGCTAAAACAAATGGACAATCTCTGGCTTCTAACTTGTTTTGAATTTTTTACTATTATATGGGTACTGTGATCATCTAGTCTGACTTCCTGCCTACCACAGTCTATAAACATCCTGTAAATAATTTCAACTCTGATAGATGTGATTAAATTGGAATGTTGTTAGAAAATACCTATGAAGTAGAGAATATTTCAAGATAGGCTGTGTGCCACAGCCTTAAGTGAGTATTGCTCCTACTGCTGTAGCCTGACAACCTGACCACAGTCCAAATCCCTGAAAGCAGAGCACCTTCCACATAGCTCACTTTTAACTGTGGCTATGATGATACCCTGTAACTGATGTTTTCAATTTAGCATGTTTTTTTCAGACCTGTTTCTTTAGAAGAGTTGCTGTAGGAAATCCAATTTGATAGAATTGGTTTGCCATATCTAGGGCATCTGTTATTCAAACATCTTGCAAAAGTCTAAAGTAGCTCAAAGATATGCCATCATTTCCTTTATAGATTTAAAAACCTCAACTACAAAGAAAATAACTTGGAAAAGTTATTTATATCCATGAAGTGTATATCCTAGCCCTGAACATTAATTACACAATCATCCTTCCTCTCTGCAGGCAGTGCTGAGCCACATTGTTCTCCTGGGCTGGAAGAGCCTAAAGCAAAACTTCTGTAATCGAGTCGTGTTAGGGTTCAAGAGCAAGAAGTCTTGATTAACAGACATCTCATTAAAGCTCCAGCAGATTCATGGTCTGCAGTAGCACTGACTTTTTTTACCAGAGCAAACAACATACAGTGACATCCTCTGAGTCAAAACACAAGCAAACATTATCTGAGGAGCAGTACAAGAGAGTAAAAATCTACTGTTGGCTTCTATGAAGCTGCTTAGCTTTCCTGCTTGTTAAATAACACAGTTGCCAAACAAAATAATTCCTCTGTCTCTTTTATCAGACTTTGGATTTGCTGGGAGAGATTCACAGTCTTAACTGCAGCCATTCTACTGATAAAGATAGTATTTATATTCTTGTAGATATAAGCCAAACATACAAATCTCTCACCAGTTTATTAGTTTTTTGCAGTTCATAAATAAGAAAGCTCATTAAGAAAATGGATCCTGCAGCAGTGTCATCTGAAGAGCTTTCACTGTGTTACACTGAAATTACTGAACTAAATCTCAAGCAGCATACTGTCATAAAGATCTTCCAATGTTAAATGGATTATCTTATGTTAACATGAAAGTTAGTGTACATTTTGCCTTTTTGTCTAAAAAATACAGCCACTAGAAGAATCTAAATTTCTAAAATTTGTCAGGATCTATATTTATGACAGACTGCTTTTCACAAATTCCAAGGATTCATATTAAACTTCTTTAACTATCATTACTAAATAATAAAAGAATACTTATTGTGCTACAACTAGAGCACAGCAAAGACAAATAAAGGGCTGATATAACTGTCATTGTAATAAGGGAAGCAAACGCATGCTCAAAGATCACTTTAGAATGTCTGTGAGCTACCTTCTCCCATTCTGTAATACATATTCCACTTACATTGTCATTTAATAAACATGAAGTATTATAAATTGCTTGAAACAATGATATCCTGATCCCTGGAGGATCTGAAAATTATGCCTATGTTAGTCTTCCAAAAAAGGATAGTTCCTGTGTTTTTTGCATCTAGAAGAAGAGAGTATGATTAAAACAATTCTAAGGATGTAGTCTTAAGGCTAAGAAGAAAAAGCTGCTTTTCCTCTGACAAAAGCTCTGCAGAAATAAAACTGAACTACTGTAAAAACACTGAAGTGAGTCTGCTTAGTTTACGCAGGGCAGTGGAAGTTAATGCTCTGTAACCTTCACAGATACTAGTGACCTTGTTCTCAAAAGATATTGCATCTTTTGCTTAGTTGAAGTTGCCAAACTTCACCGTGATATTAAACCTCTCTCTTGTGGTGAACTCCTAAGTCTGCGGTATGCTATTAGATAATGTGGGTAACCTGTTTTCCCAGGTTACCCACACAGATCTTGGTAAGTCTGTATCTCACCATTCTATTATCTAGATGCTGCCTTAATAACTGGCATAAATACATAGGCACAGCTTTTCACTTCAAAAAAACCTTACAACTCTCATTCTTAAAATGGAATTTATTCTTATATAAAGTAGCCAAAGAAAACAGAAAAAACAATTGTCACCTATTTATTTTGGAGTTTCCAGCCAATTTTGATTTTCAGACAGCAAATTGATACACATCTGTTACAAGATATCTTAACACAAAACATACCTGCAAAATTCCCAGTGCTACCAACCTGTACAAGATGGGCAATGCTCTGATAAATCCTACTGCTGGATTCCAGCAGATACAGATGTGATCGGGTATTGGCTAAGGTTCCCTCTCTCTTTTTAATTGGGGCTATCAAATACTGTCTGTTAAGAGGATATCTAATGATAATCCAATCTTGCTGAAACATAGAGGAAGACCTACTCACTTGCTTAATGCACAGATACAATACTGTTCCTTGAAAGCAAGGAAGGTTTCCATCTCTTCTTTAGCCAATTCAAAACTCCTGAAATAAAGGTCCCAAAGAGCTGGGTTACTTGAGTTTGCAAAAAGACAAGTGTAAGTTAATTTGCAGGAAAAAATACCAAAATCAGAAGTAGGAAAGCATTGTATTTGTTGAAGCAGTAGGAAGTGTGCAACAGATGCACATTTGTGGTGAACAATGAATAACTGTCAAAGTTACAGTGCTGGTGGGGTCTAATTGCATCATATTTGTATCACAAGGTGGAAAAGTTAATCTCTCTTACTTGATGTGTTCTAATGAAAGAGACTTGGCTGCTTACTTTTCATGTAACATTTTGCATTCATAAAGTAACCTACATGCTATCTGGGAGACAAACATCACCAGTTCTAAGTGTGAAGGGGGTACTGTGTTCCAATGGCAGAGTGGATTTTTCTGTGTAAAGTTTACCACCATTAATAATTTTGTAAGGTACCCCCTTAGTTTAAAGTTTTCCTCAGTATTACGTGGACTGACAAATTTGGTGATTACACACACATTTCTTTGAATCTGGAGCCAGATAAGCAGCTGCAGGAACAGATAGGGAATTACAGCTGAGAAGTTGTCTGTCTTCTGAAATCTGAAAACTGTATGTGCCTACATGGTTACCCAGAACGCTCTACTGATAATCAGAGATGGCTCACATAGGAAAAGCACTGTAGCAAACCCTTCCTAATTACTACATGAGCTCATTACATCATGACCTGTCTCTGGAGTTGTGATGACAGCATGGGAGTGCATTGAACAAGAGTTCAGGATTGGCCAGGGATGCTGTGTGTAGAAGTGGCTAGTGTGCCCATTAAGGCCCAAAGGCATTGGTAATCCTCTGTCCATCATTATAACTAACATTAGAGAAAATATTTTAAAACATCATGTGTTTGAGACACAGCTGGAACTCAGCTTAATACTGATAGCATAATACCTCTGTTACTTGGGAAAAATACATGTCGCCACAGAAAATGAGTATTGACCTGAGCTGGGATTTTGTTGTACTTGAGTGCAGTTTCCTTAATTTGGGGATCATCAAAAAGGGAAGTATCCTGAGGCTTGGACCTGTGAAAAGAAAGAGCAGACTTCAGCAACTGAATGGCCCACTGTCCTCTCCCTCAAGCACTGCAGTGTAAGAATATTATTTAAATTATTAGAAAGTATCATCTTGCATGCTTTAATTCACCATCTTCTTATTGCTCCAGTCCCTGCTTTCATTCTTTTCCTTTTACCACAGTTTAGCACATGAGAAGAGGCCTGTAGTTTCTAGTATAACAGGTCACTGTAATACATTTCAGTCCAGCCTGGAATCAGGCCAGGAATTTCTTTGGTCCAGATCCCAAACATTTCATCTTGAGAACAGGCAGCTGTCTTGTCCTTCACAAGCACAGCTGCTCTGGTAAATGCCCCATCCCAGTTTGGAAAAAGCCATGAATACTGGTGTACAAGCAAAATTTCTTCAAGTCTTCCATTTAAAAACCAAATCCATTTGTCTCAGCAGGACTGCAAAGTTGCTGTTTTCATAAGGACGTGCTGCTTTGGTTTTTGGGCTATTTTAGTTCAGACATATGTTTAATAAGCTCACCCAAGCTTAGTTAGGAATCATTTTCACTACTTTCACCAACCAACTGATCCTTTTTCTCCTAAATATGAAATGCCAGTAACAGCATGGGTATGAACTAGTGAACTGAATAGCACAATAGGCGTGAGAGTTTTCTGTGTATGTGTAATTTTTAAAAAAATCAGTAAATATTTTTCTAATTACATCAGTTTTACTCTGTGAGGGTTTATCCACATCCTAAGAGTGGTTTACTATATTGGATTCAGTCTGTGTCTAAGAGAGAAGTCTCACAAAGCATTCTTACCATGGCCAGTTGGGCACTCCAGGGGGACAATATGCAGTGACAGAGATCTGTTTGCACTGGCAAAACTTCATCAGCTCTTCCTGCGGAAGAGAGGGGTGGCTCTCAATCTACAAAATAAATGTTAGGTTTCTTCAGAAGCAGAAGGAACTCCAAGGTTTAGCATCACTATGGTGACCTACCAAGGCCCCCATCAGCTTTGAGCTCTTTTTGGAGCTATGGGGTTTTTAAGTCAGTCAGTGTTTCAGATGATTTCCCCTTCTTCCCAACCCTGCCTCCAGCAAGGCCCAATCTTCACTTACTAGTTTCTCTTTCCAGCTGCCTGCCTCATTTTTCATGACCTCTCACAGTTCCCATATCTGTGGGCTGAAAGGTCCAGTCATGCACATCCAGATGAAGCACCCAACTCTCATGTCATCCAGTCCTACCTATTCACCCCGACAGTGTAGCCTGACTCTGGTCCTATCTATTCATGCAGCCTCTTTTTCCTTGGGGGCTGTAGGAAAGAAGGGTAAGCCCCACCACATTCCCCATTGCAGAGCTCAGCTCTCAGCCTGCACGAGCTCAGTACTGCGGTCAGAAGAAAGGTGAAGGTTGCACTTTCAACCCAGGAGTGCCGCAGGCTTGTGCGACTGCAGATTCCCTTGCAAGTAAGGGCACAGGTATTCTGCATCTTCCATTACTTTGTGATTTAGCCAAATACAGGTGTATTCCCACACAGAGATGAAAAAGCACAGCCTTACCATAAAGAGTATTTTACTGCCAGAGATGTTCCATCAAATGCATCCGTTCCAGACAGGTGTGATGTCAGTACTGATGAGTTGGAGAATGATTTATCTGATTATCTGCAGATTTGTGTCATGAGCCTGCTTTGCTCAGGAGCTGATCTATCTGTTTGCAGTTGGAGACTCCAGTGGCCTTCACCATTCCCACATACACTAGGTCTTCCATAGCCTAGAAACACTACAGCATAAGATTGAATTAAGATTTTTTTTTTATATGGAAAAAATACCTGTGCAAAGACCTCAGTGATCATAATGGCTGGTATCCTCTTCTGATGTAGTGTTAGTACAGTACATTGAATTGTGGGACCCTGGTCAAGACTCAGGCTCTCACATCATATATCATCATACAAATAAATAACAGCATTATTCAAGATTAACAATTACTACACTATTATTTCAGAAGAATACAACTATTTTGAGATATTATCCCCAGACAGACCTTCTGCTTATAAATAAAAGAGGGGTTTTTAGGATAATCCCTCAGCTGCCAAAATAATTATCCCATAATAAAAAGCATGTCATTTGGAACAGAGCGGCTTGACTAGGAGCTGTTCTGGAAGAGCTAGAGCAGGACACCTGATCATCAACACTACTTAATTTCCCAAGGAAGATGTCCCATTTAGTGGTGGCAGTACAGCATAAGTAGTGCTGTGTTCCCTCACCACCATCTAAGAAAGAGGAGAAAATAATCCATTACCATCCTTTACAGCAGAAGATACACCTCTTCCAAAGAAGAAATTAATTTTATTTGAAGATGCTACCATAAGCCGCAGCCTGGAATGTCCACTTTTTTCCTTTCAAATAAGCAACAAAAGTGTGCCTTATTCTTCAGCTGACAGAAAGAAAAAAGCATCAGCAAATTCTTCTGAGTCTGGTGAGTCTCTTCTCTTCTTTTGACCTGGCCATGCTAAGCACTCTGTGAGGGTGGAGGGGAAAGGAAGCCTAAACCATCAGCCAAGCAGAAATTTGAACTTGCATCCAAGTCTTGTCTCCCATGCAGCCTGTGCTCATGCCTATTTGTGTTGTACACACAGCTTTAGCAAAGGACTTTGGACAAGTTACAGTACTTTCTAGAGGGGGAAATTTGGATGGTCTGGGTACCTTAGCACAGGCATGTTGGCTTTCTTGTGGTCTGGATAGCTCAGGTGCAACAAGGGATGAGGATGGATACAGCTAAAGCCACCGATAAATGCCCAGAGGGTGCTGTGGGGACTGAAGCAACAGCATCTGCCAGCTCAAGCCACTGCAGCATACACACACAGTCAAAGATTTCCTCTTGCCATGCCCACCCAGCCAGTTTAGTAAGCGGGAGACTTTAAAATACCTCCATTTTGTCAAAGTAAGACAAGAAAGAGCCCAAGGGCATAGAGAAATCAGCAATCTGGACTACTTCACATGGGAAATTCTCTTAGAACAATTCCCAAAGTGGAAACCTTGAAGTTTTCAGGCTGTTATTTCAAACTAGCAAGAATTTTTTGGCTTGTCTATGAACATACCTCCCATGTACCCAGAAAATCTGTATTGCTGGGAATGATCATGCCACTTCCATCTGCAGGAAATAGCTCATCTGATCACAAAAGAAAATTGAGTTTAAGGTTGGCTAAACTGCAAGTAGTTAAAGAAATCACTTAGAAATTCTACGGCAAGTGGAGCTAGGAACATGCTAGATACATTGGCTTATGCCTGTGCTGGGGAGAGAGGTGGCCAAAATCAGTAATCAGTATGAACAGAGTAATAATCTTCAGCAAAATCTGCCTCTTGAGAATCTGTCCTGCAGGCAGAGGAAAGGCAGACACTTTTAACTGCCTCACTTAGGTTGGGGGAAGAACAGGGATGTGACTCAATGGGGAAACAAGGATTTATTTAACCTGGGGGTAGAGACAGAAGAGAAAAAAGCAACTAATTCAAGAGTGTTTCATCCTGGACAAGAAAATGACAGCCACATCCCAGGCTTTCAAAGGAATCTGGTCTGTATGTAATTTGATCCATGACATGGAAATGCTCTGCAGGGTAAAATAAGGTGATTTTTTTGTACTACAAGACCTTATATTTTCTCCTGAGCACTCTGTGCAGAGGTTGGTCATTACATCCTAATGTCCTCATTAAAGAGGACTAAGGGTATGTCTGTTCCCAAAGGAAAAAGTGACAGAGCTCTGTCAAGTGACTCCCAGGAGTTTAAGTCTCAGTATTTTGAATCCCATGGGCCAGTGTATCAGGTAGAGATCCAAATAATCCAGTTGGAGAGCAGCAAGTGTTGTGGCTTGGTTCCTGCACCAGGGGCCTCTCAGAGAAGGTGGACCACAACTGCAGGGGTAATACAGAGCCTGGGAGCTGCTCTCCTAGCCTTATGACTGCAGAGCATCCCTGGCAGGGAAGCACATAGCACAAACTCAGAGGCAGCTCATGACATGGCACATCTTCTATCTTGAGGAGGTGCCACTTTGGTGCACCTTATTTTATTTTCGGTACTCTCAATTAAGTAAAATGAGAATGAGATACTCAAAAAATCCAACAATTCATACAGCAGTTAAATGAAATTAATCAGAAGAGCAAAACTGGTGAAAATCGACCTGCCAGCTTCCAGCAGATAGAAGTTACTTTATTTTTCCTACCATTGTTATTGGGGGAAAAAACAAAACAAAACATAACATACAAGAGTTAATAGACTGAGGTCGGCAGCACAGCAGGAGTGACCACAAATACAATAGCCTTGCTTCCTATCTCAGAGGCAACTGAGAGCACAGCCTCAGTTCCTGTCTCCATGGCTGACAATGGATATGGACTACAAAAAAAAAAAATCTCAAATCAAGCCCTTTTTTTTTTTTTTTTTCTCTCTCCAAAAGTTGACCTTTTCCTTCCCTCCATCTGCAAAACACTTTGCCCTGACAGAGGGGAGTTAATTCCCTGACCAGCTTTACCTTCTTGCAGTTCACAGGTTGGGACCTTGTCTCTCCTCCCGAGAGCTGGCCTCATGTGAGAAAAGTTATCCAAGGACATACCTTACTGACAATAAAGGGGTCTTCTTGCCTCACAACATCCTCCTCATTTTTTTCTTGTAATGCATCCCTGATCTCACTCTCATTCTTGTACAGGTAGGCACAATTGAAGTGGTGGTACCCAGCATCAATGGCAAAAATTACTGCATCTTTCACTGTCCCTTGGGGAGACTAAAACAAGAAGAGAATTCATTAATTCAGTAAATAGCAGAAAAAAAGTTTGCTGTTCTCCAAATCTGGAGACTTTAAGCCCCCAAATAATAAGGTGTTCCAGTTTGGATCTTGCTTTCATTAGTTTTCTGGAATAAAATGGCCATGGCTGTCACTGATGAGTTGCTTGAGATGATCTGCCCTTTTCTAAGGATTGAACATTCACATTTGGACATCAGGCTATCATAAAATAAGTTCTAATTTGCTCAGAAATTAAAAGCAATTTTAGCGTGAGATACTAGTGACATGAGGAAATTAATCACTTCTGGAAAGCTTGCTGGTCTTGCACACAAACAAGTGGGCTCTTGTTGACACAGGACATGGGAGGTGAGAGGATGGGAAAACGCTACAAGACAGTGCCACCTCCTGGGTAAAATACACAGCCTGATCTTTAATAGCAAAGTAAATCACTTCAGATTCTTGGCTTGGAAACACTGAGTTGTTGTTTGATGACTGGATACCAATTGTGTAAAATGGCACATCAAACAGAAACACGATTCAAAACCGTGACCACTTCCTACTTTTAACTTCGTTACATCCCCACCCATCATCATTTATCTTTCTATAATTTCACTTCTCCAAGTATTTCCAATTGAAAGGTGCTTGGTTGGTTCACCTAAATAAAATAAAAAATAGGCAAAGAGCAGTGTTTTTTCCACAAGACTACACATAACTAAAGAGCCAGTTAAAAATTTTACAAGTTGTCCTTTTTGCAGCCCCTTTCCTACGTACGAGCCCTGCAGCTCCTAGGGTGGCATGGGAAAGCAGACTAATGGTGACACGGGCCAAATGCTGGGCATTATAGAGTGCCTCGTCTATGGGTGCTGCTGCAGCATGGGGAAGTTGCCATGCAGGACCGATCAGCATCACTTTTGAGTAAAGGAGTTGTCAGTGGAGAGTAAAGGTGACAATATACCCTGTGATTACACAAAATTCTCTAATGCAAGATGTTTCTTAGAAATCCATTGCTTCATTTTACATAGTAGTCACTGAACAGGACTTCAAATCAGAGTGGCTCGGTAAAAGAGAGGCCCCATTGCCCCAACAAAATGCAGGGAGTCACAGCTGAAGTTTCTGTGGGAACAATGCTGTTCAAATAGCATTGATTAAATAACCGCAGTGGGTTTGGGCCATGTTTTCATTGCATTAACACAAGAGATTTTTGTGGTGGCATAGATCATGTGTCCAAAATTCTCCTTCTGTTTAGTCCTAACCAGTTCCTGTTAGCATCTTAACAGGTTCCTTCAGAGAGCTCATCCATCACAGTGTCAGTTCCCTAAGAGGCCCCAGGCAAGGCACACTTTGGTTTTTTGAAGCCTACTTGGTTACTTTAGGCCTCTTAGTGTCTTTTGTCATCGGACCAATCAAGACTTAAAGGGTTAAACAAACTCAGCCCCATTTGTGCATGAGTTATGTGATGATTAGCAGCAGCTGACCCAAAAATATAGCAAGAATACTTTAAGATAATTCTATGCTGGTGATTTGCCAATTACTAGGCCTAGCATAAAGGACACAGCCAGCATAAAGATGAACCAATAACCAAATTGTATTTGATACAAAAGGGTCAGTACGTGGGTGAGTGCTGGGGGTACAAACAAGTCAGATTATATATAATCAACATCAATCCCACTGACCCCAACAACAACACCCCACGACCAGCAACGGGTGGAACAAATGGTGAAATGCAGCTTCACATCGAAGGAACGGGAGACAACTGAGTCAACAAGCCAAACACATAAGACCAAGGAAGCCACATACTGAATCTCTACACAGCCCACATTTACAAAAGCCAGACCTGACTGGAGCCCAGTCCCAGGGAGGCAGGAGGTCCTTCCCCAACAGGGAACTCTGCAAAGTGCATCCACCCCACAGACAGACACTGCTCCTTCCTGCAAGGGGTCCCAGCTTTTATCCCCAAGTGGGACACCTGACCTTTGTTTACTTCATGTGGGACACCTGGGGCTCATTTACCTAATGGCTCTCCCTGCCAGGCCGGCACCACCCTGGAGGGAAGCCTAAAGGTAAACTCACCCCCCTCTTTGTGAAGGGCTGTGGGAATCACCATATGTCAACCTTAATTTGGGGCTTGGGGTTGAAACCCCAGCATTTCAGCTGGATAGTCTGGGCAGTGTTTCACAGAGTTGGTAGCTTCCAGTTCAACATATTTAGTTTCCAGTCTCAAATCCAGGCAATGATCCACATTTTTTTCCTTTCTTAAGAAGCTCACTTTCTTAAAATTTTCAGCTCATTTCCAGATTCCTTTTACATTTATAACTCAGTATATCATTAAATCTTCTCTCTTACCAGAAGTCTCTTAGATAATATTTGCAGGTAAGTAACTACCCAAACTGTTTTCCTCCAAAGTGCTGCATACTCATCTGCTGCTATACAAATAAGTTATCTTCATTCTCTAAGGAGTTAATGTAAATTCCCATTTCCAAATCCACTCATTGCCACTTAAGTTCCTATATCTAGATGTGACATGCTGGGATATTAATACCCAGTGCCAAAAGAAAAAAAAAAAAAAAGATAGGCAGAAGGTTTTATTTTTGTAGTATGTATTTTTTCCATAGCTAAGAAAAATCTCCTTCTACCTGCACTAAGTGAGAACTGCCTGCTCACTTAAAAAATTTCATGAAGGACAGATGTAAATACCTGCATTACCTGAAAATTTTCAAAAGGCAAGAAATGCCACATAGAGGATTTGCTGCATTTTCCCGACATGAAGAGAAGATTGCTGAAAAAGTCTACTGTGATTTTCAGCAATTTTCTTGTGCCACCTGTGTGACCAGAGGCACAGGAATGAGGAGAGGTTCCCAGCTCCAGCATTGTCCTTTCTCAGCCACCACAGGCAAGGAGAGGCTGCAGCCCCTTGCAAAATTTTTTAAATAGGCTTTGACCTCCCTCCTTCTTCCCGATTGGCTGCAAAGAAGGAAATATGAGCAGAAGTGCTATAATAAGCAAGACAAGGCAGGGATTTTGCCTTTATCTCACCCTTCGAAGAATTTAAAAATTGATTATGGGCTCCTCACATGAATTTGGTGAGTAAGCTCATCATGCCAGTTACACATATTGCATTGACTGAGGTGGCAGCTTTTTGTATACCTCTGCTTTTGTGCAAGAAAAGTGGTATTTGGGGAGTTTGCACACACCTTAGGAACCATTTCTCATCTCACCTATCTGCTTCTGAACACATCACTACAAGAAACAACAAAGCTGTATTTTTCAGGAGGAAGCACAGATCTGTCCACAGGAGGGATCACTGTTAAAAAAATTCCTAATACTGATTCAGCCTCACAGCACTGGACACCCATGTTATCCACTGCCCCATTACAGCTTAGAGTTTGTCCTCACGAGTTGTGGGATGGCAGCACATATCTCACTTTCCTGAATGGTGACACCAAGTTACCTAGTGTTTGTTTGCGGTCAAACTCACCATCAAAACTGATGTGCCACAGGGATTCTAGTTGATCTCTAGGCCCCCAGCACCCTGTGGCTTTTGCTCTCAACCACTGTACAATGAGTGTTCACTGAATTCATATACCATCCTATGCAAATTTTTTCCTCAGCTGTCCATCACTCCCATCTTTGTCATTCTGCAACTCCACAGTCTGTCCTTACCATATAAAAGTAATTTCTAGTATCAGAAAATACATTTTACAAACTTTCCAGCCTCAGTTTAGGGACGTATCAGCCCAGTAAGGATGTGAATTAGCAACTTCATTGAAGACACATTTAAGTTTTCACTAGGGTTTCGTCTGTTCAAAGAATCTTCATACCTATGGAGAATATTTCACTTTATTAGAAATAAATATTAGCATCCCTAGGATGTGATAATGATATCTTGCCAAAGGTCAAAGCACCTGATTGTACATTTGAAATATTCTGATCAAATTTTGTCAGTATATTTAAAATAACCAGGTAGGCAGCGGATTATATCCCCATTTGACTGTTAATGACAAAATTTTGGAAGCATTTGAACATTTCCATAGTGTGATTAGCAAAGAACCACAGGGACAACACAGTCCCTTTAAGGAAGTGCTCCCCCTACTTGAGAGATAAGCTAAGAAATAAAGCTTTGTGTTTTCAAGAGTCATCATGTTAGCTCTGTGTGACTCTTCTAAATCAAAACTACTTAATCTGCAAGACTGATGATCATTAATGGCACACTATGGTACACTTGTGTCTCCTTGAGCAACCACTGTGGTGTTTTCTATACTTGCCCACTTTTCAGAAGGCAAACATCTTTGGATGTCTTGTCCCTTGACACTGTGTTACTGTTACTTTATGGCCTTTTCTGTTTGCATCCTCTCCTACACTAGACTTTTTTACCGACCACAATTAAAAATCCTTTATTCTGCATAAACTGAAAAAACAGTTTCACAAGGCTCAGTGGGAATAGCAGCTGGCTCTGGAAAATCCAAAACCTCTTGTTTTTATGCAGAGTGGGTTTGACCCCAGCCTGGAGGCTCCTGTGTCCTGCCAGAAGGAGCTGGCATGCTACCTGATTTCAGAGCCCTGACCAAAATTTTGCAAGAACTCATTTTAAATATAGGAGTGGTAGGCATTTATTGTTTATCTAGCCATCAATGAACTTTTCCTTCCCTTTTATTTCTTTGCAAAACCAGCCCCAGGGTAACATGCATTTCAACAGGCAGCATCCCAAACACCCAGCGACCAGGGACAGGTCACTTTGTTCAGGCACTTTTTTTTTTTTACTGTGCACAGACCTTGCATGCAGGATATGCTCAACATGAAAGCATAAACCTGTTGTTTTGAAGTTAACACAAGTAAAAGCCACCAAAGTCACCAAAGTCTGAGAGGCCACAAGGCTGAGCATGATCATGCTCAGCACTCCCAGGGCAGACACCCAAAGAGCACCAGCAGGCATCAATCAGGTGGCCAATGGTCCACCCTGCTGCTCCCTGCAACAGGTCCCCAGTGATACCAAACTCTTGTCCTCCAGAGCCAGATTTCCTTTAGGGCTTTGTACCTTTTCACATTGAGTACTTTTCCTCTTGTAGCCTCAAGTCATTGCTTGCACCCATCTCAAGCAGCAGCCCCTCTGCCTGCGGCCTGACCTTTCCTGTGCAGCTCTACACCACAGACCTTCTCACTCCCCCATACTACAGCTCAGCCTTTTCCCCAGTGGTCAGAGCCAGAGCTGGCCTGGATCACGGGCACATCAGCCCCTTGTCCAAGGATTTTAATTGAGATGTGCAGGTCGCTGCAGCTTTGGGACAAGCCAAAGGAGAACCCTTTTCATTTTATTACTGAGGTTAAACATACCAGGCCTGTTATGCCTGAATTCTGCAATGAAAGCAACGTTTAACCAGCAGTTGTACTGCTCAGTTCTGCTATGTAGAGATTTGATGTGTGGGTTTTGTCCATACCTGGGAGAAAAATGGATTACATAAAGACAGGTGATGACCATGGCTCTCTGGATCATCCATCTGACACCCTGGTCACAGAGATTGCTGAGGTACCTGTACAATTGGTCTGCAACCCAGGATGGGAAGAAATTCACTTCAGCTCATTGCAGAAACTAACATAGATTAACAAACTGGCTTTCTAGTACAGCTGTTGTGTCCCCTGTCCTTCAGTGACTGTCTCCCTAACAAGGGGGACTATCCCAGTTCATTGACCTCCGCTTTGCCCATCACAAAGGCAGACATAGAGACTGTTATCCCATTCCCTGCTCCAGCAATCCCTCACACAGCAAAGCACATTTTCATACTGAATTAAACTGTATCCCACCAGTCAGTGGGATATGTCAGTCATTAGCCTATTTAGGAAAACCATCAGAGTATTTCTTAAGCCTGTGTGAAGGTCTTAATTTACTTTGCCTTTAAGTCTTTGTCAGTTTTTCACAGCACATTACTTTTTCCTTTAAATCAGGTAGATTTAGCTCAGAAGCATTTCTTTTCTCGTTTTTTCACTTCATATATGTCAGGAATTTTTATTATTTATGAAGCTCTCTAAAACACTGGTGGGCGCATTTCCACAGGCAAGTGCAAACAGTGCTGAGCCTGCCAACTTGAAGCTGGTAAAATATAAGCCAGCCACGTGGGAAACAGCATGTAGTCAGAGCTAAATAGCTCCCTTCTAAAAACCAATTGGTTCATAAAATACCTTTGAAAGGCTGTTTGAGGTTTCTGTTTGCACTTGGAGGAAAGTGCTGCTCTCTGCTCACAGCTTCAAGCCCAAGCTGTGTTATAGAAGAAACACCAGCATAGATGTTACTGGAAAAGCTGATCCTGGCTGACATCACCAACATGTCCCTGGGAGAACTGTGGCCTCACAGCCAGGGCAGGAGACCAGTAATACAAAGCTGCCTGAAAGGCAGCGCTGTAGGAAACGCTGGGGGCCAGCAAAGGGCCAGCGTTGGCTGGCTTCCAGGAGGGCAAAAACTGAAGCTGTCCCCAGGGAGCAAAAAAGGCAGCAACTGCCAGTGAGAGAATCTGCTTTGCAAACGTTAAACCTCCCTGGAGGAGGAAGATGCCTTTGATGACAAAACTACCACCTTTCCCCTGCAGGACTAATATTATCACAGGATTCGCTATTGAAATCTATCAATCAGACAGAACAGATTATTGTGATCCGCAAAATTATCAGTAAAGCCATTATTATTCAAATTACTAGTAATGCTAAGTCCTAACATGATTTACACATTTCATCAGAGTAACTAGTTTTATCAACCCATGTTTCTTAATCCGTATTAGAGTAGGTCCTTTTTTGAAGGTCTTTTTTAAACGTAGATCTCACGTGCAGCATTTTTGTGTAAATACCAATGATAACTAACTAGTTGATAAGTGACTCTTGTAAATTAAAATGATACTGAAAGTATAAAAAATTATTTCTCTTACTTTTGTATATAATTTTGGGATTTACAACATATTGAAGTTTTAGCTATTATATGTGTGTGTGATATATATTTATTATATATATTATATATATTTACTTTTTCTGGTTTTCTGTTTCTTGGAGGCGTGGAGTATCTGAATCTAATCCCCCAGACAGGGAGTCTGTCAGAGATAAGTAGAGAATGTGTATTTTGCTACTGCTCCTCCCCTTGAAACAGTGATCCCAAACCAAACAAAAAACGGAAAGGAAGAGTTTCCAGGATCTACAATAATCTCTCCACACAGGTATTCTTGGCTTCAATTGACTTTTCAAAGTCCTTGCTACCTGTGCTAGTCTTCATTCACAGAGTGGCTCAAACACAGGACAAATAATCCCAACTCCTCTGCAGTGGTTCTATGGTGGAAAATTTTTGTCTGGCAGAAATCCAGGTGTTGGTTTTCTGTAGCCAGCCCTGGGGCAAGGTGGATGCCACATTACAACTGATCTCCATGTTATAACTGTACATCAGTACACTAGCGCTGAATCCCATCCACTGAAATAAAAGTTGTCCTTGGCAGTTTATCCAGAGTATGACTGAGCTTTGCTGTGGACACAGAAGCAGCCAAAATGACTTTTTCCAAAAGCAGCTCAGGTCAGGCAGAGTTTTTTAATCTATGTGATGCAGTTTGCACACTCTCCCACTCCTCCCGTGGCCCATCTGGATTTGGAAGCAATATAAGCTTTCACTTGACAGCAAACCTGACAATAAAACCATCGTGTCTCCAGAGCAAGGATAAAGGACCCAGGGAAGGTTTAGCCTCATTTCCTCAGCTGTTAGAGATAAACAGCAGTAGCTCTAGCCTGAATACTTAATCTGAGCACACATCCTCTGAGTGTGTGGTCTGTAGCCTCCTACCTGCATTGATGGCATTTAGGAGAAACAGACAAAGAATAATTCACAAGATTTATTTTCTAGGGAATTTACCTCATACTATTTTATTCAAAAAACACCAAATACTTTTCACTGACATACTGTCCATAAAGATTCTTAACATTATCTGAGCAATTGCTTCCTTGATGGGTGATACACTTGGAAGGTTATGACACATTTGAGGCATTTTTCATAAGCATAGCTTGGTTTTAAATTTCAGGTTATATCAAATTAGAAATCTCTTGTCAAGTCTCTTAACCCATTAACTTCTCAATTTCTGGAAGTGTACTGTCTTTCAGCTACTTCGCATATGCAAAGCCCTGGATAAAGCAGACAGGAACTTGGTTTTCTTACCCATTGCAAGGTGCTTTAGAAAGAGTATAACACATTCCCAAAGGCGAACAGGCTGAAAATTCCACATTCTGGTGACAAACAATACACTGGGATTTTTTTTTAACACAAAATGAACAGTACAAATACAAGAGAGTAGAACAGAATAATGGACCTTGCTAGTACAGTGCAATAAAAACCTGCTAGTTCATAAAAATGTAATTTCACAGCTATGCTCCAAGCTCTCTCAATTCACCTTCCACATAACAACAGAAAACAGAAATGATTTGGGAACTTCATCATCAAAATAAAATCAGGTTATATATAGCTACTACTATAACTAAACCAGTAATTTTAAAATGTGCCCAGTCACACAAAAATAGCACCCTTGCAAAGATACAGTCAAAGAATATGTTAGGCTAGGAGGTACTTTTAGATCTCAAACTACTGGAATCACCAATCCTTTCACAAACAGGTATGTCAAGACCTACCACAATGAGTGCTTTAAAAGCATCACAACAAAAGTTTTTAATTCTCCTCACAGCTGAGTCTTGCGATGACCTTTTAGAACACTCTTCTTCCGATTGTAACGTTACCAACCTTTCTTTCTAGCTCCCTCTACATTTTTCCTCCAGTTGTTAGGTCTTCCCATGGGAGCACAGGTTGAACCAACAGCACAAAGTGACAGGACTCAACAGTATATTTAAAAATTACTCGTTTCATAAAATTGTTCTCTTCAGAACACTTTCTGCTTGAGGGATGTTTCCACTTCATGGGCAGAAAGAAAGAAGGAAGAGAACGAGACAATTCTAGCTGGCAATTCCAGTTGAAGAGTACTAAAGGAAAATCCCAAAAGTTCAAGCACATCAAGGCATCTCACATCTCCTCTTATCACAGTGGATGGATGGTACTGTGCAAAATCACTAGCTAGCTTCAGAATCTCCGTTGATCTGTATTGGGTTCGAGTGACACAGTTTTGGTAGCAAGGAGGGCTACAGTGGTGGCTTCTGTGAGAAGCTGCTAGAAGTCTCCCACATCTCCCAGAGCCAATGCCAGCTGACTATAAGGCAGACCTGCTGCTGGCCAAGGCTGAGCCCATCAGTCACAGTGGCATCACCTGTGCAATAACATATTTAAGGGGAAAAAACCAAAAAGGCAGCAGCTGCAGCTGAAGAGAGGGGTGAGGCTATGCAAGAGAAATAACCATGCAGACACCAAGGCAAGTGAAGAAGGAGGGGGAGGAGAGAGTCCCCTGCAGCCTCTGGTGAAGCCCATGGTGAGGCAGGCTGTGCCCTGCAGCCCTGTCCAGCTGAGGGGAGTGATAGAGCAGGTTTAGTGGGCACCTGGCATCCTGCCATGGTCAACCCACCACATCTATACAGGAAAGAAAATGCAATAAATGCCCGATAAACATGCTAAAACAATAATCATCTGCATAAATATATACAAACCCGCCTTGTAAGTAAGAACTACAATAGCTCCCGATTTAGAAACACCTCTTTATGCTGACACCAACTTTCAAACATATCTCAACCCCTGCAGTGATTAATTTTCAGGGAGGTTTTAAGGAGTAAACATCACTGATGCATGTATCATAAGGGTTCTGGTCATTGTTCCAGCTGTTTCTCAAGACTTTCAGGCCAAACGCTTCCCCTATACTAGAATCTAGGCCTCAGCATTAAAGCAACTGGCAAGTCAACAGAGATGAGAACTTCACTATCTCTTAAGGGGAAATTAATATATAGAATCACATAAATATAAAAATATATGAAAGAAAACATTTCTAGGTGCAACAGTTCTTAGATCCTTTCTCTAGCTGAGTCTCTTCTGCACTTTTTTCAGAAGTAAATGTGAAGGTAGAGGTCACTGATTGAGTGCAGAATGTCTTTCTTGTGGAACATTTGTACATGTCCACACTGGCACAGAGGTGCTGAGCTCCACTAACACACAGCTTCCCAAGACATTCTGACACTCCTGGATAAGGCTACTGAGGATGTTTCTTCATGTAAATCAAGAGATAGGCTGTTTCTCCCCTGTGGAAGCAAAGAAAAAGCAAAACAAAATGTATTTTTGAAGATCTAGGTGGCAAGTAACCTCTCAGGTTTGCTCCTGTTCAGCTTTTTGATGTTTAGGTCAACTGAACTGGCCCTCTCCAGTATTCCTAAGGCAGCATACAAAGCTGACAGCGCTATAGCTTACAGGAGGGATTATTTCTCTCCACAGTTCATTTTATGATACATCAAAGAAAATCATGGAGGAATCGTGACTGACACATCTAACGTCAGTCAGGATATAGAGTCCAAGTGGCAATCATAAGTAACATGACCACTCCTGAAGTCCCATTTGTGACTGACTACTCAGTAATCCTGCAGGCTCCTGGTATAGTCACATACAGTCACATCAGAGTGACCAGTATACAAGGATGCCTTTCTACTCTCCTGCACACCCAGTACATCCCAAGCAATATACAGTTCAAAACGTTTGTTTTCCTTCTCTTTGCTACCCTCATTCCAAACTTCAGAGCAGTATTATGTAAAAACAGAGATATGTCTGCTTACCAGTGGAGGTTGGAATGTCCATAGGTGCATTTAACATCATCCCACGATACCTAGAGAAGAAAAACACACAAGAGGAGGCTGGTAAAAACTAAGAGATGGACATACTGTGATACCAGCACAGCAATTCTCATATGAGAGGTAAGTGGTATTAGGAACTAAACACTTTTTAATAAATTGGTTTATCACTTTTACCCTTCAAGGAAAAAGAGTTCCTTTGCCTCTTATGAACACATACATGTCCTGGTTTCAGCTGGGATACAGTTAATTTTTCTTCTCAGTAGCTAGAATAGTGCTATGTTTTGGATTCAGTGAGAAGAACGCTGATGCTACACTGATGTTTACGGTTGTGGCTAAGAGATCAAGGTCTCTCCAACTCCCCGTGTCCTATCCATGCTCAGGTGTACAAGAAACCAGGAGGGGGCACAGCCAGAGCACCAGATCCAAATTAGCCAACAGAATATTTTGTATCATGTAACAACATGCTCAGTATATAAAGGAGGGTTGACTGGGAAGGAGGGGGTTCTCTCTCGCTTCCAGGATTGCAATTGCAGGACCTTGTTCTTTTCAGGATCGCTAGCCAGGAACAGGCTGGGTATCAGTCAGCAGGTGGCGGGCAATCACACTGTGCATTACCCATCTGTACTTTCTATTATTGTTATTATTTTATTACAATTAATAAACTGGTTTTTGTCTCAACCTACTAGTCTCCCTTCATCCCTCCAATTCTCCCCCATCCCTTAGGTGGGCAGAAGGGTAAGCAAGCATCAAACCATGACAATACATTAAACAGATCTAGAGTACATAAAGTAACATAAGGTATACAGAGAATGGCTGCTTCTGAAAATCGCAAACCAGAACCTGAGACCTTGTTTGGTACAGAAGCTAGAGCTGCTTTGCCTTCAGCTCAGAGTAAGCTGTAGCAGAGGAATGAGGTGCACAAAGCTCTGCAGCTTCAGTTTTCTTTCCTGGCCCTCTTTAATCAGCAGTCAGTCAGATGGAATGAGATCTGGAGGAGTGTCGAGGAAGCTACAAAAGAAATGTGGATTTGTCTCCTCACCTGGCAGACCTCAGAATCATTGAAGCAATACCATTTACATTCTGTGAGACTTCGAATATAGGCACAGTAGTGTCCACAATTAGCTGATCCTGAATGAGCTACAACAGCAAAAAGCTCATACTGCCAGGCAGCCTGTGAAGAACCACAAAGAGTAATGTTCAGCATAGCAATTCTCATTTGCCATAGGCTGAAGAGAAGCAGCAGCCAGAACAGCAAGAATGTGTGTTTTGTAATGAAAAAGGAGAAAGATTAGATTGGCCTTGAGAATCCTGCCTTTTTCAGCCTGACAGCTATGGGCTGGCAGCCTCCCTGGCGATCACAGGAATGTGAAAAAGGCAGTAGGACAGTAAAGGGGCAGCAAGGAGCTACATTGCAGTCAACATTGTACCAGCAAGGTTTTTGTATTGCCACACTTTTCCTTATTATTTCTCAGTAAGGGGAACAGATGCACAGTGTGGCAAATCACTCTCATCTGCCTAGCAAAGCTGTTGTCTCCCTGCTAACCTCAACTCTGTGACAAACACCACTGCATGGGAAACTCCCAGGGATGGAGTTCCCATCTCAGACAAGTGATGATTGCAAAGCAGTAGGTCTGCGCCTCACCAAGGCCATCTTGCCCCAAAGGCTGAACCACAGGACAAAAATTGCCTCTGAGACACCACTGTTTACAATGTCTGGATTTCATCACCCAAACGAACTGTGTTTTCATCTTTTCTTTAGTATATTTAGAAATGGAAGAAAGAAGTTATGCTAAACACTCTCAGAAAAAAAGGGTTTGGGTGGGGTTTTTTGTAAAGCCTGGGTTTTGACCTTATGGCAGAAAGCTCCAGTTCTGGTGCCCTTGGTGATTTAATCTGAGCACAGGAAGTTGAATAATGCCTGAATCAGTTAAAAGCATAGGATGTGAGACAACACCAGGCACAGGTAAAGACCGAGACATAGGTTTTTAAGACAGGTGCTTTGAACTGAGGCGAGTACTGGTGTGATCTCTTAAATTTTTATGAGCTTTGAGCAGAGAGGAGAAGAAAATCTGCCCTTTTTAAACAGGGCATTAAGAGCATCTCACCTTTTCACTGTCATCTGCTTGGCACTGATTTTCTGTCAGGACTGCACTGAAATCAAGGTCTTGTGGGAATGGCAGATAGTGACTAAGCTTGTGAATACAGGCTGATTTTTTGAAGCAGAAGCGCTTTAGGTGTATGGTCAGAGTCTGTGGCAGATGGACTAGCTTCATGCTCTGCAAAGCAATAAATAATACCCTTCAGAACTAAGGAACAAACCCTGGGGAGGTGGGGTAGAAACAGCCATTGCCACCTAGTGAATGTAGCATGGAAAACAGTCAAATGATTGACAGTTCCACCAGACAGCAGATGCCAAACCTTTGTAGCTCATCCACCACACGAGAGACACACACACACATAACAGAGCTGTGATAATCAAGTTTTTCAACTTCAGCATGATCAGCACCCAGCCTTGGGTGTCTCAAGGGCTGCTTCATTTTTCATCTGCTTTCTTAACTGTAGGTTGCTAGCACTAGGTAGGTGAGGAGAGGCAAGCCAACTTCCTTGTGACATGTGGCCACCAGAGGTCTGTGGAGGACGCCAAGCTGATGCTTATTCCTTCCAATACTGCCTTTTGATGCTACTGCTGCTGCCATGGCTGCCACCAAAACACATGGATGCACTGTGGCCTTTGAGGTGGTCCAATGGTGAAAATCTTGTGGAAAGTCCCCCCCAAGCCTTGAGCTGAGGCAGTCTCTTCACATGCACTTGCCTCTTCACAAAACAGCTAATGCATCAGCTGACAGAGAGAAATACTGTAAAAAATGGGGAGCCCAGTGGAGAGCAGGGAAGAAAGAAAATCACCCCACATTATCCTAATTTTATGTGTATGCACAGCTCCAGTAACATATTCTTGTCTACCCCTGGAGCTACGCAGCAGTGTAAAGCCCCACAGTGGAAGCACATCATACACCAACAGCAGCTTTTCCACTAGTACAGAATGTTGCACCCCTTGGTAACTTACACTAAAACCCATGAAAACATTCTTTTGTTGCTAAAACTGCATCTACAGTAGGGAATTTCCTACAGGAAAGATTAATGTGGTTTATACCTATTTGACATTGCTTTGCTGACAAATCTTTGGGTTGCTGATCTCCTCTAAAACTCATATGGTTGAGTCCTTTCCCCACCCTGCCCAGTCCTAAAGGGAGTTCTGGGTATAAAAGACATTTGAGGAAATAATTCTCTCATTACCTGCAAAAAAGGTGTTTTCCTTCCACACTGTTCACAGAAACACATGTTGTGATCAGTCAACTCTTCTGGAAGGAAAAAGTATTGCAGACAGTCCTCCTATGAAGACAGAGAGTTCTTTCAACTGAATTCCTTCAAGATGGATTTCTATTTCTGCTAGTTTCACAGGGTACAAACAAACAGCAAAACCGGCAGCAAATAGAAGGCAAATAGAAAACAGCAAACAGAAGGCATATTTTATTCAAAGGACAAAAGATTGCCTAGCAGCCTAAAAAAGGTACCCCATTTTCCTAGCTGCTGCTGTGATTGCATTAGTTGGAAAAACTAGAGTACCACGGTTTCCACAAAAAAAGATATTGATGTATAAGTGTCTTTTATACCTACTTCAAAGCTTTAGAGGTTTTGAAATAGGTTTCTCAAGGCTGAAACAGTATAAAGTGATCAGAGAATAAATGTGATCCAATGGTCCACTGTAACCTGAAAAATCCACTGTCTATTTGTGGCAGCACCTACACAGCCACCATCACTCCTGTATCTGGCTATCAAAGAGCAGTACTGATTTAACAGTAAAAGAACACCGCACTGGGCAAACGTACAGTGTCTGGCCAGGGATTACAAGTTATCTAGGGCATCTCACTGTGGTATCTAAGGTCTCACAGGTACACATCACTATGTAGTATAAATCTTTGAGTCTTGCAGAGTTTAGTCAAAACACTTTTCAGAAAGGAGATGCAAGGACTTTATTTTACATCACTTAAGTCAAACAAACTTTTGAGAAATTTAGAGCCCCTCAAAACAAAGAAGAAATGTGAATGAGAAAAGATCACGTCAAAGTCCCAAACACCCTGCAGAGATTCTTGCAGAGATTCTACGAGTCTCAGGAGACACCAGTGCTGCATGGAGAAGGGTCCTGCAGTGATCAGAGGGGAACCTTCTTCCTAACGAAACAGTGCTGCACCTGTACTTACCAGAGTCTTCAGCATGTGAGAATTGGAATCCAACATCGGGAGTGGAAGGGTTAACATGCTGCTGTTCCTCTTTGTTTCAAAAGAGCATTTCTGACAGGCCAGATGCTCCTGTACACAGATAGTGTACAAATCACCCAGCTCTTCAACCTGGAAGGGTAAAAAAAGGCCAAAACAAGGTTTATGAATAACACAGCTGAGGTATTTCACTCTGTGGGTGGGGAAAGCTCATGTGGACAGTTACTTCACACAGTGTTACTGCCTCAAGGCTTGAACCCACATCTGACAATGACTTATGTGGATGGGACACTTCCCACTATTTAAAGGAGAACAACTCTTTCACCTCTTCCCCTAGCAGAGCAGAAAGACACAGCCTATAACAAGATCAGACAGTTAAATGCTTTGACACAGAATTTTACTGTTTTGTTTGGAACTGCAACAAGAGCCTATGAAGAAAACTATGACAGTGGGTTGAGGAAGAGTCACTTTTACCTGACACAGCTCTTCTGGGAGAAACTGTCATATACATAGCATGCTAACAGTGACTAATTATAATAAAAGGCATATGGCTGACTTCAAAGAATGGAATAGCTGTGTCAAGACACACCAATAAAAGTTTACAGAAATTTGGGAAAAAAGGAAATGCAAGATAACTTAATTCAGTGTTGCAAAAAGATCAATATTCTTGCTATTAATCAGCTCTCCCATTAGAATGGAGACCCTGGCATGCCCTAAAAGAGGAACAAAAGTTAATTGTGATTCAAAATGTTGAAGCCTATGAAATGAAGACTCTCTCTCAGATGCAGGTTGAAAGATGCGAGGAGAGATCCAAACACAGGATAATTCTAAGAATTTAATTTAGGACAATTGTCAGTGAATGAGATTCTTCTTAAAGAAGCAGAGGAAACCACACATGACAAGGGCCAAATGACCTGGTGTTCATTTCAGTGACCATCCTTACCAGCTCTGGCTTTTTCATCTGCCTCTTTATCAAGTTCCAGAGAGTCAGAAAGAGCTGAGAAGCATCATGCTGCACAAACACTGGACAAACAGAAAACACAACCTTAATCAGTATTATGAACAGCACCAGGCACAGATTTCCCACAGATGGCAAAGAGAAATTTATTGTCCCCCATCAGATCCAGTCTCCTGTTCCTTTGCCACCCTCTGCCAGGAACAGAGCTTAGACTGGACATGAGCTGCAACGTCTCTGTGTGACCTGAGCAGGCAGTGGGAAAAGACAGGAGGGCTTGACCACCCCACTGTACAACACAGTGCAAAAATCATGTTCTTGTCACCAGATGCAGGGCCAAGAGGCTACTCAATACCTACCGGATGATAGGGCTTGGACATCTCATTGAGTTGAGGGATGCATTTATTTGAGTCCTCCTTAGAAACAATACAGAGAGAAATCTGTTCTCTTGTCCACCTTTGTTACTCCATAGACTTGTCTACCTCACCCCCTCTCTAAGGCTATAACACTTACGAGATAAAAATGATAGGGAGGCCTATCCATATGTCTCATCCACAGAATGGTATAAACCCCTTGATCCCTACCCAGGGAAAAAGCAGGCAGTTTCAGCATAGGAAGCCAAGGATGATGTAACATTACACTTTGGCTTTCTACTCTGGCTAAACTGGCATATTAAGAAACCTAAGATGGTGGGACACAGCTCAATGCACAGCTTGCTTAGAATGGCTCAGCAGAGAATTGCTTCAAGATTGAACTTGGTGGGTAGGGGGAAAAATACACATCCTTGAACGCAAAGAATCTAAGTTATCAGCCCATGATGAACTCAAGATTTAGGAACTGGGCAAAAACTACACATATGTTTGCAAAATCTTGGTATTTCTGGACTACCTCTATGCTTGATCATAGGTCAAACAAATTCTGTGGAACAATCCAACACCCTGAGGTGGAAGTGCTTTCAACTTGCCCTGCAAGTCCACACATACTGACTTCAGCTAGGTTCTAGTAAGATTACAGACATCCCTGACTAAATGAAGCTCAGAAAATACACCTTTCCTCATGTCTTACAGCACATCTCTGATCCAGGTAAAGCACCACTTGCTGGGATATAGGACTTCATGAACCACAACTGAATTTTAAAGCAGAAGGACAAGGTAGGAGACTGTGAGGCTTTACAAACTCTCTTTGGGCATCTCTCTAACTGGGAGAAGGCAGAATGCAGAGCCATTCAGTCTCAGAGAGAAATATGATGCAAGCAGAAATATTCGTGTTATCTCATGTTCCTCCTTAATACAGGTCTGGGCTGGCTACCATCTGACCCCTTCAGTGCTGTCCTGTTTGGGTTTCTATATGGGAAAGATCAGGGCATTTGGATATACCCTGTGTATTTGTATATATAAACAGACCCTCAGCATCCCATTGTTACTAGTCACCATGAATTTAACAGTCTCTCTCCTTTGGGATCCTGCCCACATGGGAGGTTAAGCCATCAATTTCTTCTCTCTGCCCTTATAACAAGGAACAGGAAGGATATTGTTTCTATCCTTGAGGATCTGGGTGAACTCAATATCTTTTTCATACAATCCCTTCCCTGTAATAATAGCAGCTGTTTCACTATTACCATGCCAGCACAGCAAGACATATCAAGCTATAAACTGTCCCCCCCCGCCCTGCATAGCCCTTTCCCTCCGGCCAGTATCAGTAGCTGAGTCCTGTAGTAGCCTGATAATCTTCACACCCTTTGGACATCAGCAAGGATATCTGGAAGGAGCTTTCCTTCCCCTCTTCACAATTAAGACACAGCATCTAATTCACAACTGGGAGGCAGCTATAAAGAGCACTACGTCATCGTATACCTAACTCCTCCCATTTCTGAATCTCTGAATGAGATATCAGATTCTGCACTGCTTGTTAGTGCTTGATAATTAACATCCCTGGTCTGCAGACAGAAGTGGGCATGAGGCAGTGCTGCTTACATTTCACTCTGTATTCTGAAAGACAGAAAGCGAGGGCTGTGGGAGAAACAGCTTTCTGCTTGCCACACTGCATTGCCTCCAACAGCAGGAGCATTTGGTATGGGACATCCTTCCTCTTCTGTACAGGACTTGGTGGCACTGTGATCCTATAAAGAGAAGAAGCAACATGAATGGTAACCAAGCAGCACTAGGTAGTTGATACCTGCAACAACACTAACTCTATCAGGTGCTAACCAGGACAGTCAGGGGCCAGAGGCTGTGGATCACAATATGATTATACTTATATGCTTAAAGTTACAAAATTAATAGTGGATATGGTTATACATGACACATCCTTTAGTTATAATGGCCTATGAGTATACCTGGAATAAAATCATATCCTGCTATGGAAAAGAGAGATACAAGTCATAAAGACTCAGTTCAAGACTGCAGCTTACTGGTGTGCAAACAGCACATGAATCAGAAATGACAAACAAGTCAGAACACTGCAACTTCTACATTTGCAGGCCCTAGCCTATATATGACAGACAGAACAAGGCAGAGATGTTGCTGAGTGAACTGAAAGCACCTTGCTAGCACTTTGATGATCCAAGCCTTCAAATGTACATCCCATAAAAAAAAGGAGGGGAGACAACAGAGCAACAATGGATGTATCTATCTCAGGTTAATTCAAACAGGTGGTACCTTCGAAGTATCCCTGTGAAGTGTGTATTCATGAGGAACACTTGGAGCACAGAGTTCAGACAGCAGCTCTGTCCAATGTTGTACAGTCCAATAGCTTCTGTAGGCACAGAAAAAGAGGAAGTGAGGCCTGGAGATAGGTACAAGTGAAGAAAGTGAAAATTATTTGAAAGTGGCAAACTCCTCTTGCATACATTCAGCCATTCAGTGTACAGACTCAGCATCTGGTTCAGACTTGACAAAGCCTTCAATCTATTCTTATGTTGATCAAACAGATAACATTTATTTTTGTTTGGCAACTGACAGGAAAAATCCAAGTAAGCCTGCATTATGATACTTAAATGTCTCCCAGTTCCTCTATTTTCAGTCCTCACATTGCACACCTAAACATAAAATGACAAAAAAAAAAAAAAATCAAAAATCAATCAAAAAAGTCAAAGGCTGCCTGTATGAGGATTTTCATTCAGGCTTTTACACAGCTAGGCCTAATAACAAAACTAAGAGCTACATGTGGGACCACATGCTAACTGTCCACCATACAGCCTTCAAGTTTCCCCCTCAGCCTACCTCTGGTATTCTTTGTTATGATTTCAAAGAAAGAAACTAGCCTGAGAGGAGTGGAAAAAGCAAGTCACAGCTGTTCACAGAAGATGACGTATTCTGTGCTCCAAAGCAGTATAAGTAACCATGGTCAGAAATTAGAATTTTTTCTTCTGGAGTCATCACCAAAGGGAGAGAGGACATGGAACAGAAATTCAGAACAACTCTGAAATGCATACAGTTGGTGGTTAAGGGAAGGCTATAGCTGTAATAGAACAGTATATACATCTGAAATATCAATCACAGCTTTTGAGAGGCCAATCTAGTGATGCAGCAAAATAACTAGGGCCTAGTTCATGGTTTAGCAAATCCAGAAGCAATGCTGTCTGTGTTTGGAAAGAGACAGGGCCAGCATCTAGACCTTTTTGGCTGCAATGGACAATTTGAGGACTTAAAATAGGAAAAAGATCTGAGATCCTCATGTAATACCTTCCCAAAAAATCAAAATGCTTACTTGACAGAGCAAAATGAGAATCATCTGTATATTCCTCAGTGAAAAGGTAAAGAATAGGAGAAAACAAAGCCAAAGGACAGAGAACGGAACAGCAGGCATTAGAAATGGAAGATATGAGAGTGAAGAATAGACAAAGCATTACCATTTTTTAAGTCTGCCACACCAAAGACTGATGTTAGCCTCTGCTCTTCGGCCTTTGGCTCTTTGGCTTCCTCTTTATTACTTTGTATTCCTGCTTCTGTCATCATGGTCTTGCTTAGTGGCAGCTCTAGTTTCTTGCTTCTTTTTTGATGTCCACTTCTTTGTCCCATCAACAATATTGTACAAAGACAGAAGGACTGCAGAGAAACACAAAGATCAGAAAGAGGGCGAGCACCCAGAAACACAGGATTTGTCTTTGTATTTGGCATTTTCATTATAAAAAGCTGGAATGTCAATACAATTAGATTACTGCAACAACATTTGGTATATCTGAATTAACACAGGTATTGTAGGTGTGCAGGCTACTGGCAAGGTAACAAGACATGCAGCTTGATGGCAATTGCACATCCTGTCTTCCTTTTGTGGCTAAATAAATAAATGAACCTTCAGTTCCACAGAAACAGCTCCACCTAGCCAAGGAACTCCAAATATCCCTGTTCAAGAAGACAAGATAAATAATATGATTAATATTGTCCAAATGACGATGTTGCAAAACTCCTCTGTTTAGTAAAAGTAACAATTTGTCACCCAAGTATTCAAAAGGGCAAATTTCGCCTCCTCTAGCTTTTTGAGCTTATAAGCATATGTTTGTTTTCTGTGCTGGGCTCCCCACATTGTTTTTAAGCGCATTAGTCACAGCTCTATTGGGGCACTTTGGACTATGACTTTTAAACACATGTAAGCACCTAAACAGCAGTTTCTTTGTATGCTCCTTCAAGTGATCACAGGAAAAAGTAACTGTTTAAGCAAGAAAACCATTATAATGCCTTGATTTTCAAGGCAGTATGAACAGACCATTAATCTGATAGTCTCTTATGACTCAGCTACTAGGTCTTTAGGTAAGTTTTAAAAAACCACCTAACTAAAGCAAATGAAAAATACACAAGCAAAATAACGTAATAAATATTAAAATGCAGTTACACAAAAATGAAACTTTTTAAAAGCACACCTCCAACGAGGAGGCAGAATCAGAAAGAAAAGGATATGCTTAAGGAAGCATTCACAGGGGGGAACAAAACAAAAAAAAATGCTCAGAAATTATTATTTTACAAATATTATATAGCATGTAAAATGAACCTGAGGACAGGTGCTGAAAGAATGAAAGAAAGCTACCAAGAAAGGGAAATAAGAAAAAAATCCTGGTTTCACCTTCCACAAAAAGAAAACCTTTGCTTTAAAAGCAAGTTATTTTTCAGGTTAACTGTGCCTAATAATGTTAAATATTAAAGTTTCTGAAGATTAAGGCAGGGAAACGGGAAATTATTTTTTCTCCCCCAACTGTTACTTTTAAGCTTAAGTATACGTTTTCCCAATTGTACTTTCGATTCTTCACTTCTGAAGATTACTTTTGAACTCTAAGTGTCATACATCAGTTTCACTAAACATAGTCGAATTTGCTGAAGTTTTATTCAGGGAAAAAAATAAACTCATAGATTCAAGAATATTGCTTTTTATTTCCAAAACCACTGATTAGAACAGCTGCACAGGAAAAGAGAAATTTGATTAGATTTCTTCTTTCACAAAACTGCCTCTTTCCCTGGAAATGATTTAATAAGGCATTCAGGTTTCTGAAATCCCAGCTGGAGCTGGAGCCCATCTTTTTCTTGTACAGGAGTCACTGGGTTTAGTTGCTGTAGTTCAGACAGAAGGTAAGTAATGTACACAGCTCCTGAGGATGCTGAAGGAGACAGAAAGGAGGGGGATAGGCAAAACAGAGGTAGGTGAACAACAGGGATATACTGGGGAAGGGGTGAACTTGCAAGACACAGCTTTTGGCAGGAGGGATAGGATTAAGGATGGGATGAAAGAGCAAGCTCAGGGCTAAAAGGCTTTGGCTGACTTGAGAAATAGGCTGAAAGATATCAGGGCAGGAAGGTGCAGGGGGATACAGATGGGAGGATTTGGGTCTTTGGTTTGATGAAACTCTCCCCCAGGCACTACCAGCAGAACCCCCAGTGCAGGAGCGGGGACATGAACAAACTTCCCAACCCTTGCAGGGAACTGCCTCATTTTGGTTATCAGAAGTATGGCATTACTAAGATTTGCACATGACCTTCCTTTCCCTGAACAAATGTATAAAAAAAAAAATGGTGAGTGAGCACAAGAATTGAGGAGCAGGCTCTCCTCTTGCTCCTGACTTCTCCTTTCTCACTGGAGGAGCAGGGTTGCTTTTCAGTTTCCTTTGCAGGTCAGGGGTAGGACTCAGCACCGCTCCCTCAACGCACATGGCTTGGCCGAGCCAAGTGACCACGCTAGCGCGAGGCAGAGAAAAGACAGCAGTGATACCCTCTCGTACCCTAACCATCTAGTCCTCTTTCTCACCCTCCCTCAGCCAGCCCAGCAACCCTCCTTTCACCTTGGCCAGCTCCACAGCCTAACTGCCCTCCCAAGACACTCTCACGACAAACCCCCAAGAGTCCCTTCACACCCCCGTACCACAGCCCTCGAGACCCCCCTCTGCCTAAGGAGGACCCCCCACCTCTTCCCCTTGTCAGCCCTTCCCCTCAGGGGTACCTCGAGGAGCAGGCAGCCAGGGGGGTGGTGCTGGGGTGGGAGG